GTAATCAAACACTAGGCACATTACCAAATAGCAACATACCCTTTTATTCCATTACTTTTGTCTGCCACCTACAGAAAACATCAATGAAAAAATTAGATTTGAACAATAATGAATAAGCCTTATTGATTTGTTCCATCATTTGATAAACACAATACATATAAGAAAGAATGGGATTAAGACTATTTATTGAGCTCTGATTGGAAGATTAATTTAAATCATTACTCATTAACTTACCACTCCAAGAAAGTTTCCGTCAAGTGAGTACTTCAATATCTTATCATTCAAGAAACTTGCTACAAAAAGAGTTCTATTTGGTCCAATTGCCATTCCTTCTGGACAGTCTAGTGAATCATCCTCACTACCAAATGCTCCAGCAAAATTACCAGATTCTAAGTGATATTTATGTATTCTGTCTGTCGTAAAACTTGCAACATACAAAAATGTTCCATCTGGCAAAGAATTTTTTTGTTAAAATCTTATTATTTTAACATCAATTCTTGATAAGCAGGGGGGAGTACCTGCCAGTTAAAAGACAAGTCAAGTAACATTTGCATGCGTGGCCATGTGGTAGTGCCTTTGTTCCAAAGCCACAGTCCAGGTTCGAGACCCAAATGAGTACATACATGTATTTCTTTGATTTCTTTATTTGCCAAAGAATATAATTTTGAACACAAGTAATGCAGGCACAAATTTACAGGAAAGTGAGTGACTTAGTGAGTGACAGAATTGTCCCCCTCCAATAACTCTTCAGTGCTTCAAAATCTTTTACTTAAAAATGATCTGTTAACCTAACTTGCACAAACCTACTGGGTCTAAATTCAGCCAATCATATTTTTGCACTGTTGCAAGATTTAGCTTGGGTTATGGCCTGAGTTGTAGGCCTGGGTTGCTTTAGGGACAATTAATAATTTGTACAATTATGTATTACAGCCTGAAGATATTTTCCCCAACAAATAAGCTAGCAAATATTTACATGCTGACTTACACAAAAATTCAAAAAAAAAAAAACATGAAATAAGAAGGAGTTCTGTCAAGATTTACCTGATACCATACCCCAAGGACCATCTAGTCCATGACCACTTGTAAATATTCTAACAACACTTCCACTTTGTCTGGTATCAGACACATATAGAACCTTAAATAATAAACCATTAAAAGATGATTTGTATTAATTATTGGTTAATACTGTTGTTATCTACGTGGCCAGCACGAGATAAACCATGCATGTCAGCCTGCATACAGATGTTACCTGTAGAGGGAAGAGCATTTGAGGAACACCAGTGTATGCAGTATAACTGCCATGGTCAATGTGTAATACTTCAATAGGCCCTATACAGCTAGGGGTCAAGCAACATTGATCAAAGATGATTTCTTTTGTTTCTATAGACCTATCCACCATGACCATGATTTTGTTAGTTACTTATTCATCCATTCACTCATTTATTTATTTACTGCTTGTGTTATAGAAAGAAAATGTGACAGGTCATGTGACCTTGCCTTCCAAAACATGTGCTTAATTGACAAAAGTGCAAAATATGTGATTCTTAAGCAATGCTCTCAACATAGTTTTGACAGAACTTCTCTTCTTCAGAACTTTCTAATCTTATCAACTCTGAGGTGTGTTTTTTTGTGTTCTGCGTTTTTGTTAAATATGATTATTATTTAATTAAAGGTATAAATGTGTACCCAGTAGGGAAAGTTGTACAATATGTGCAATTAAGTAGACTGTGCCATACCTGATCATCTAAAAAACTGTACAATGATGCAATATTATGGGTATTTACATGAAATCAATAAAACAGATGCAGTTAGTAAAACATAATGAGGACTGGGTCAATACCACAATTTCATTATGATTTATGATAAGCTGTAAAATATATTGACAACTAATTAAAACTGCAAGAGCGACAAAATTATCACTTACCTCGAAATAAATAGAGAATGATAAGGTGTAGCCAATATATAAGATGGTTTTTTAACTTTGTTTAATTCTTTTACAATTTGGGTAATTTTCCCCTCCCTGGAAAAATTAAAAACAATTTTTGTGGCTGTTTGCAGAATTATTTATCAAAGAACAATGGAATCCCTTACAAAGCTTTTACTTTAATTCTCTATCAAATGATTGA